CTGTGGTGGCAAGATTGTTCGCATCAGTGCGGATGTGTACATCTGCAATTTCGCCCGTTATGTCTGACCAGAGGCCGCGAAGAAATAATGCTGAACCGTAACAACGCAGTAGTCCGTGCAACTCTGCAGTCATGCGGGACAGGGCGCGGGGCACTTGTCGATGATGAGGGCGAAGAAGGCGGACATCATGGACAGGATCGCGATCAAGTACCTGGCAGCGGAGTGGGGCATGTAAAAAACAAGGGAGGCTGGGGCGGTGTGACTCCAGGCCATGTAGTGTTTACCCACGGTGGGTAAACGACTGGATAGGGTCGTCCTCAGCGCTATCGCTGAGGATGGAGAAAAATGCCTCGTCCCAGGCGAGCTCATCAAGGCCGTCCTCACCGGCAATCTCTTGAATGTAGATGCACATCCACCCTTCCGTACCATGTTGCAGAACAAGGCATTTTTGGTTGAGCGGCTAGCACACAACACGAAGCACGGACCCGACATCGTTGCCTTTGCAGGAGTCGGTATAGCAGAATCCATGTTTGCTTATTGGGGAACCTGGGCATGATCCGCACGTAAACGAATTCTGACGCATGAGTTTTTCTGTTTTGCATATTTTCACTTCCTCAAATCCGTGATGCGCGTGTTTGCACTTGACCCATTTTGAATCTCAAGAAATATGTGTCTGCATCCGCAGCCACTTTCGGTTTACAACCAATCCGACCTTTGCAATCTTGTATGCTCGATCACTTCGAAGACATGCCCATTCTCAATATGATCTTCGGACGACCCAGTGCCGCACCTGTGCCAAAGCCAATGATCAAGAGACGGGCATCACCGTTGAAGGAATCCCCTGCTCGTGATGAGGAAGATGAGACATCAGACTCCCTATGGAGCAAGCCGATGAGAATCCATCCGCCTCTCAGCAACCCGAGAATGTCAACATGGAGCAGGTTGATTATGATCCAGATTGCGACGACGATGATTCAGATGAAGAAGGGCATCCTCCCGCAGAAAGGCCTACGTCAAAGGCGATGCCACATCCGAAACTTGTTCCAAAGTCACCGCCACCAGCATTGAGGCGTGTCTCCAAGGTCAAGCCAGCACCAAAGAACATCCTGGATGAAAGGCGACCAGTGATGCGACCTGTTCTCACATCCAATGATCGGTGGTTTGTAACATATGGATCGGATACAAACATCAGCCTCCAGAAGGAATCCGTACACCCCGGACCTTTCGGAAATTCAAAATTCCTGAATTTTGTGTACGAGTACTACAGGGAATGCTCAACCATCCTCGATGTCAATCCGGATTTCCACTTCGTTCCTGAGTATGCGAGACCACATGGAGTTAAGGTATTCTGGTTGAAGGCCAGATTCAACGATTACTGGCAGCCAACACTCCAAGGTGAAGGACATCATGCGGAGAAGCAATACATGGACTTCATCAAGAAGGTCTACAGCATCTGCTGCTACACCAATGCTCAATCCGAAGTTTACGGAACCGACATCATCCCGATGGTGTGCCACAACGGCAACATTGATCTCGAGAAGACCGTCCAGAATGTCGAACAGGTTTGCAAATACTTCCGCATGGATCCATCCAAGGCGAAACAGATCACAGATCTCATCCTCTGGCGAATTGAGAGAATGAGCAGATCATTTTCCGGATGTCCCAGGGCATGGAATCCATAAGGAATGCAAACGACCAGTGGACATGGGTCCTGATGGATCCTTCGAGCTCTATGACGCATTGACCTGCATCACACATGCCAGGAACTGCATTGGAAATAAGCCAGGACTTCTCTTGATGGCTATGTTCCCGAGGTATGGAAAATCATGTTTCGAAATTGCCTTCGTATTTCCATCCGTGGACGGGCCATATAAGGAGCGCAAGGCACGGGGAGAAATTGTTCCAAGGAATCGATGGATCGACAAGCTTACCACAAGATCCGCACAAAATGCACTCAGGAGGAGACCAAGGCAACCCTCTCCCACTTCATGAACAAGTTCAACAAAGATCCAAGAAGAGCTCATCCCAACTTGACAGAGTGCGAGGGAGCCTCATTGGCACATGTCGATCCCGATGTCAACCTCGGAGAAGAAGAATTCTACTTCCCTCATCGAGGACAATGTCCCACCATTGACGAGTACAAGAAAGCTCAACCAGGATCCGGATATCCGATTAAGCTTCCGCTTGGATTAAAAAAGCTCAGGTCACATGATGACCAGGAAATCATCCGAGCCTATGCCGATATCCTGGGATCGCTGATGCAGCCGACCGACCGTCCTCCTGTGGACTATCTCAATATGCATGAGTTCACCTCATCCATAGCGATCAACACGCTTACCCTGAACCATGGAAACCTCACAAGGAATCCAAAGCTGGACAACAGGGTGGTGTACAACATGCCGATGAAGGATCGACCGATCGTAAAAATAATGATTGTAAAGATGATGATGCAGAACAGTGCACACATCTTGTGCCTGAATGAAGCAGACGCATTCTTCAGTCCTAATGATGAGAAATCCAGGGAGCTCATCAAGACGCTCATCCGATACGGTTACAAGGGCATAGTGATCAAGCAATGGTCATCCAGACCGATCGCATGCTTTGTCCGTGGCGGACCTTCTGCAAGAGTGGAACTTCTGGCAAGACACATTTCCACCAAGAGCCAGAATTGGGGAACCACATTCGGAATGTTCAGTCAGATGTTTCTTCGGAACTGAAGGAAGTTGCACTGATCCCGAATACGAAATTCCGACCTCAGATTGCTTGGCAACCACAGGACCATCCATGTTTACTGAATCCAAGAAGCACATTGGACCGAGATTGCCACCACGCACCATTGTCCAAGGACATGGCCGAGACAAGGAGATCGTCGTTCTCCATATCGAGCAGAGTGATGAGTTTCGTGGCATGATCCCGAAATCATCCAACAAGTCACTCCACGAGTATGACGACCGCTACACAACGAGGGCAGATCTCCCATTCGCTATCATTGGAGTTTTCCGCATCCATCCTTCAATTATCCATGGAGCAGCAAGGGAAGATCTTCAAAATGAAATCATGCCGCTCGTGAGCTTGCACCGATGTGATGCGATCACCGGAGACGCCAACAAATCAGCGAACACCTACAGCAAACTCCAGCACGTCTTCAATCCGGCCAACGGTCTCGTGAACATCCTCATGAGAGCATATCAGAGACTGTGGAATGAAACGAAAGATTTGCCACTCGTGGACAGAATAAAGTATGCGATGGAGACTTCGTGCACCCTAAAATCCATTGTCCGTCATCACCTATACATGAAGACTGGATCAGGATATGATCGAACATTCCCAGATGTGATATCCAGCAGGCTTTCCGGAAGGACGAGATGAACGGCATGGATGATGAACAACTGCAATTCATGCGGAACAATCCAACCAAGGCCATATTCGATTACCAGGTCTCATCCGCAGAGCGCTTTAAGCACGTGAACAATGACATGTTCATGAATGGCTCGCAGGACTCCGACTCTCATAGTCCTCGATCTCATGGTTTACATCCGCAGCAAATCTGCAACCAAGCAACGCAGCTCTGAGAGATACCAGGAGTACATCAAGAAGAAACAACCCTGGACCCCGCAGGAGTACAAGGACTACAATAAGCAGTGGGGACATCAGAAGCAGTGGAAGGACTATAGCAACTCGACCTGGAATGATTATGGAGACAATGGCAGTCAATCCGACAGCAGCCGCCGATGGTATCGTCGATCCGACTGACCATGAAGATTTATACGTTCAGCACCACGAACTGCAAGACATTTCATCCGAGCAGAAAAGAGGATGAATCCGGCATAAAGCATGGCTACGGCATACATCAAGGCTACGGCCAAAGGCCATGAAGCCAATAGTATTTCATACTTAGTGCTGGAGATCAAAAGAAATTTGTGTCTGTTTTGTGTTTGGTTCTCAGACCAATTGATCTCCCGCAACACTTGGCTCAAGGCCCCTTTTGTGTATCATTGCATCAGACATGATCGCGTGAAGCAAAAGAACCTTAGCAGGCCGCTTCCAGGATTACCCACAAGACAATCCACCAGGGACAATCCATCCTCCAATCATCCACATTGGCATCTTGGATTCTGTCCGGAATAGATCCAGGGACCAACAACGACCTCTACTACCACAGGGTACCAGTTCCCTTCTGGGAGAGGCACCTGGGCAAAGACAACGTTTCTTACTGGGACCGTAAGTTTGTAAGCAACTAGCTACTTCAACCCCCAACCAGGCCCTTAAGAAAGTAGGTAGGTAGGTAGGTAAGTGTACCCGTAAGCAAGTAGGTATGTGAGTGACCGACTGCAGTCATCTGTAAGTAACATATTGCAGTTGTAGGCACTTCAGCACAGAAACTTGGAACCCTTCACCAACCACCGATCTTTCGCTCAAGGAAGCGAATCGTCCGTAAGTAACATACTTGGAATGTTAGGTATCTTGCTTACCGCCTATTTTAGGTAAGGAAGTAAGTAAGTAACTAACTAAATAACTGAACCCGCTTCCCCCGACCGCGGCCCCTAAGTAAGTAAGAAAGAAAGAAAGCAAGAAAGAAAGAAGGAAAGTACCTACCCCTTTCCCCACCCCCCACCCCCCCGGCAAAAAGACAACAACAACATTTCTTTCTGAGAGCAAGCAGGCCCGTAAGTAAGTAAGTAAGTAAGCAAGTAAGTAAGTAAGTATTTTAACTCCCAACCCGGCCAGCAAGAAGATAGATAGGTAGGTAGGTAGGTTGGTAAGCACGTAAGTTAATACGTAAGCAAGTAAGTAAGGAAGTAATCAACCTCCTTCCCCCAAACCCGGCCCCTAGATTCAGCGGGTCAAATAGCTAAGTCAGTAAGCAAGTAAGTATAAGAAAGTAAGTAACCTTCCCCCCGCCCCACCGCTCCGTCAAGAAGCGAGTCGTACGTAAGTAACATACTCTCGCGGGTAGGTATGTTACTTAAACAGAGAAGGCAGGCAGGTGGTTGTGCCAGGTTGGCCGACGTGCTGGCGCAGGGCCTTGACGCAGGTTGGATGTGAAGATGCACAGCAATTGGAAACACGGCAGTTGCGAGGCAAAGGCAGGCAGGCGCTGCTGGCGCGGTTCCGGGGCTTCTTAGAGGAATTGACCTCTTCCGAAGACCCCAAGATGAAGGACAGAATTTGCAGAAGGGAGAGGGCCAGAGACATGAGCGAGTCTCACTAGGAGCTGAGGGAGACCTACACCTCGCTGACACCTGAGCTGCAATCTGCTGTCTGGGGGGCAAACTCCTCCGATCTGCAGTCCGAGGCCTTCAAAAGCCTTCAAGACCAGCGCCGCTGGAAAGGCACAAGGGCTTTCATCAGGTCACCGCCATACCGCCATGCGCGTGAGACTTTTCGCCCACACAGGTGACTCGGGCGAATTTCATTGAAGGCTTATATCGACTGCGGTATGACGAGCGGCTCGGATGCCATAGGTCCAAAGGTACTCATGACCAGGAGGTGATGCGCAGGTGAAATCTGATTTAGGGAGCCTGAGGTGGCACCTGAGCAGTCTTTTTGCGAGGCGTGCCGAGTTCGCATTTGCAAGGGTTCGCTACGGGGCTAGCTGAGCATGGTTGACAGCAAGCAGCGCTTGAAGCCCTCCTTGGTATTCCGGGCTCTTCGACTTGAGCTTGAAATTTGCTCGCAGGATTGATCGTGATGGCTCTGGTGATATCACCATGGAAGATCTTCTCAATTTCCTGAGAGAGGAGCTGTGCCATCCGAGCACACTATTTACTCATGACGCATGCCAATCACTTCATTCGCAGCTTCCATGGCACGTTGATCGTGCGCGCAAGGCCGGTCCAGGCGGCCGATACCGGATGCCGGTGGCCACACGCGCCATGCCAGAAGTGCGAGAGCGTGGTACAAACAAGTCCTCAGCTCAGACATCGTTCAGAGAAGAAAGTGCTGTGTAGCGCCAGAGTGGTGCAGGTTGGTTCAGCTCAACCACAGTTCCATCGATGCCTCTGCCAAGCTCTCGCAGCTCAACGACTGGTTCAGCGACGAAAGGCGCGCGCTTGGGGCTCCCTGCGAAGCGTGACAAGTCCTCCTTGGGGTCACTGCGAGGTTTTTGAGTTGCGTGGACTATAGTCTATAGATACTTTGGTCCTAGGCGCAGCCAGCGCGAAATGCAGAGGCAGAAGCGCCGCGTGCTCGGAGCTGGAACTGGCGAACTGGGTCACTTGAGCCGATCTGAAAGTGCATCGAATGTTGGCAGGTCGGCCCATCACCTCTCCGAGCACCAAGCGGCTGTTCTCAACCATGTCAATGCCATCGTTGAGAACAATGTCGTCATTTAAAGAGGAGGATGGGCTTGGCTTCCAGACCCAGCATTTGTCAATCTGTGCTTTTTTCAGGCCCCTGCGTGACCTTGGTGTCGCCAGAGCCAGCTCTTCTGGCCGTTCCAGGTGGGCTTGCCGCTTGCCCTGGAAATCATCCACCCGTTGATTGATTTGGATCAAACAAAATGAGACGCTTGGATCACATGATAACATCATGTAGACGCTACGTGCGATGACTTACACAGTCTGATTCATCGAAGAGTTTGCCAACCTTGGCGCGCCCGCGCCGAGGCCTCACAGCGACATGACACGGTACATGCTAGTTAGTTCCTTAGTTTATAGGACGCTACCCAACTGGTGCCAGAGATGGCCGTTGCAAAGACAAGTAGCGACACACGATGGGGTCAAACTCTGAGTCATTTCGCTTCAAGCTTGACAAATTTTCAGCCGATTGCCATGCCGCAGCTCATTGGAGCATCGGTGCGTGTAGTGGACACTGGCTCTTTGCTCCTTGGCCTGTCCCCAGCGATTCTCATCGATTCGGGCCGTGACTCGACCCAGGACAATTGATGAGCTCGCCGGGAACGTGGCGACAAAAAACGATCGGATAAGCATCGCCCTGGTGAAGGCACGGAACGCGGCTCTTGGGTGGACTGGGAACAGGCGTAGAACGGTGGATCAAACCTCAGGCGAGCTTCGTTCAACGCTTGAAGCACAAGCACTTTATTCAACACAGTATCTCATTCATGACGTGCAAACAAAGGTGCAACTGCGGGTTGAGTCAGATGTGGACATTGCCAATGCGCCGCTTTAGATCACGGAGCCTACCAGCGAGCCCTGGCTGACCCTGCACTACGACGAGTGGATGTGTGTGGCCTGCCGGTCTGTGGACATGGGGTTGCTGAAGCTTGGAATTATGCACAGTTTGCTTGGCATGCAGCAACGATCATTTCTGATTTACCTTGGAGTTGGCAGCTGGTTGATTGGCTGGTTGGCAGCTTGGCTGGCTGGCTGGTCGGTTGTCCGCTGTTGTCAATGGATTTTTTCTGGGCCTGCGGCCTCTAGCCGGCTACGCCTCTTTGAAGTTATACCATGTCATGTCATGTTTTTGCATGAGAAACGTAGCGTGTGCTATGGTTAGGTTATGCATGTTGCCCACCTTAACCCCAGATAATGCCGGGGATGCCGGCTTTCTGGGCCCCATCGCGAGGGTTTCCCACAGTCAAGCAAAACCGCAAGCCCGAGCTGGTGATGCAGAGGTGCCGGATTTAGGCCGCGCATCACGACCAAGTGGCGAGGGTCGGCGGCACCAGGGTGCAGCCCCTATAGCTAAAGCTAGCAGGCTAATTGCCTAGCGGCGACATGCTACCCCAAGGAGGCGTAGCCGCCTGACAGCCGGGCGCCCCGAAAAGCGTCAGTGTTCCACGTGCTGTCATGATTTTCGCAACCGCGCGGCCTGGAACCCATACAAAACCAGCAAAAACACTTGGTTTTTCTACTGGTTCGCCAAAAACGCTGCCAGAAATCGGGTTCGGCCGGGGTGAATCCATACAAAACTATCGAAAACACAGTGTTTTTTCTGCGGTGGACCGTTGAAGCCTGCCTGCTAAGCAGGTTTCCATATTTTCCACGTTTGCGCACGAAGACGTGATCTGGGCCTCCTTGGAGGAGGGCTGGTGGGTCTTCCCCATTGGGGCAAAATCCAGGCACAAGTGGTCCTGGTACAGGGGAGAGGTCCGCGACCAAGCCTACTTGAGAAGGCTAGACGCCTTCAAGACGAGGCGACCGCATGTGCTTGAAAACCTTGGAAAGCCCCAACCTTGGAAAAGGCACCAGAAGCCTTGGAAAAGGCTAGGAAAATGCCAAGAATTCAGTAGCAACAGCCTTGGAAAAGGCTAAGAACTGAGTAGCAACAGCCTTGGAAAAGGCTAAGAATTCAGTAGCAACAGCCTTGGAAAAGGCTAAGAACTGAGTAGCAACAGCCTTGGAAAAGGCTAAGAAGTCAGTAGCAACAGCCTTGGAAAAGGCTAAGAATTCATTTGCAACAGCCTTGGAAAAGGCTAAGAAGTCAGTAGCAACAGCCTTGGAAAAGGCTGAAAGCTGGTAGTTTCACCATTGTTTCACCCACACAACACCTTGCAGTGAGAAAAATATTTTGAATTAAATAAAATAAATATAGACACACACACACATATATATATATATATCATTGATTATATTAGGGGTCCCAGATCCATGGGGTTTAGACCTTACCTCAAATTATCTCAAATTATCTCAAATTATCTCAAATTCTCTTATTTTTGCATCTAATGTGCAAAAATATGCAAAAAAGTGCAAAAAACATGCAAAAACATACAAAAAAGTGCAAAAAAGTGCAAAAATGTAGACAAATGCAACAAAATGCAAAAATGCAAAAAAAAAACAAAAAACAAAAGCAACACACACAAAAGTGCAAAACAGCATGCAAACACAACAATTATGCAAACAACGTGCACGAAATGCAAAGACAACAAAATCAACAAACTAATGCCACAAACTGCAAGAAATGAAAAAGCAACATCAACAAGAATGTCGGGCATGGCAAGCACTAAAATCATGATGACAACAATGAATTCCATAATTCTACAGAAATGCACGATGAGGCCTCCAAATCCGTTGGTAAAGGTATGTTGTTTGAGAAGGGCCTGGTGTGTGGGTGTGGGTGTTGTCTTTTTGTTGCTCGTTGTTGGTTGTTGGTATGTTAGTGTTTGTTGTTTGTTTGGTGTTTGTTGTTGTTTGTTTGTAGGTTGTTGTTTGTTGTTTGTTGTTTGTTGTGTTGTGTTTGCTGTTTGTTGTTTGTTTGTGTTTGTGTTTGTGTTTGTGTTTGTGTTTGTTTGTTTGTTTGTTTGTTTGTTTGTTTGTTTGTTTGTTTGTTGTGTGTGTTTGTTTGTTTGTTTGTTTGCTTGTTTGTTTGTTTTGTTTGTTTGTTGGTTGGTTGGTTGGTTGGTTTGTTTGTTTGTTTGTTTGTTTGTGTGTTTTGTTGTTGTTTGTGGCGGTGGTGTAGTTGTAGCTTCAGTTGCAGTTGTAGTTGTAGTTGTAGTGATGGTTGTAGTTGTAGTTGCGGCCGTAGTTGGATTTCCACTTGCAGTTGTAGTTGTAGTTGCAGTTGTAGTTGTAGTTGTAGTTATTGCTGTAGTTGCAGTTGCAGTTGTAGTTAGGTGTCGTTTCTTGTAGTTGCATTTGTAACTGCAGTTGTAGTTGCAGTTGTAGTTGTTGTTGCACTTGTTGTTGTAGTTGCAGTTGTTGTTGTAGTGGTAGTAGTTGTTGTTTTTGTGTGTTGTTAGTTGTTTGCTGGGTGTTGTTTGTTGTTTGTTGTTTGTTGTTTGTTGTTTGTTGTTTGTTGCTGTTGCTGTTGCTGCTGCTGCTGCTGCTGCTGTTGTTGTTGTTGGCGGCGGTGGTGGTGGTGATGTTGTTGTTGCTGTTGTTGCAGTTGTTGCGTTTGTTGTGTACGCTGTGTTTGTTGCGTGTGTTGTGTTTGTTGTGTTAGTCGTGCGCGTGTGTGTGTTGTGTTTGTTGTTTACCCTTGTGCGTTCGCATTAGCAACAGTTAGACCCAATTGTTCTGCTTGCGCCGCCTTAAGTTGTTGATTTTTCCAGAAGATGAACGGGCCCGATCATGGCTTGCAGTGATACTCTTTGTCAATATCAATCATTGACGAACAGCCTCCCCATTCCCTCAAAATTCCTTCACAATTCCCTCACAATTCCCTCAGAACTCCCTCAACAATTCCCTCAACAATTCCATCAAAAATCACCGCGAGGCCTTTTTCGAAATCCCATCAAAATTCCCTCCACACCTCAATCACATTTCCTTCAAAATCCCAGCGCATTCCCCTCAAAAATCCAGTACACTTCCCTCACAATCCCAACAACATTCCATCAAAATTCCATCAAAACCCCATCAACATCCCATCAACATACAAACAAACACCTCAGCATTCCTGCAAATGTCCTTCATAATTGCCGCGCAATTCCCACACAAGTCCTTCAACATCCTCTCAAAATCACCTCAATTTTCCTTTGAACTTCCGGCAAGATTCCCGCACAATTCCCTGAAATCCCTAAACATTCCATCAAGATTCCCTCAAAATTAAAAACTTTTTGGCGAGTTTATCTCAAAGTGCCTCAACGTGCTGAGCTTGTTGACTGTGTGGGCCCAAAGCTGCTTAACAAAGTTATATCCGAGTGTCCAAAAAGTCTCAACTCATTCTTGGTATGCCCCTGCCACTTTTTAACAAATTTACCTCAAAGAGTCTCACAACTTTCAGCTTGTTCACAGTCTATGCCCGCCACTTTTCGGGGAAGCCATCTCAAAATATCTCAACTCACTTCATGTCACATGCATATTTGAGATAATTTGAGATAATTTGAGATAATTTGAGATACATTGAGATAAATTGAGATAATTTCAGATACTTTGAGATAATTTGAGATACTTTGAGATAATTTGAGATAATTTGAGATAATGACTCCTTGCAATGACTCCTTGCGATGACTCCTTGCCATGACTCCTTGCAATGACTCCTTGCAATGACTCCTTGCAATGACTCCTTGCAATGACTCCTTGCCATGACTCCTTGCCATGACTCCTTGCAATGACTCCTTGCAATGACTCCTTGCAATGACTCCTTGCAATGAATTCTTGCCATGACTCCTTGCAATGACTCTGCAAGTGCAAGGAGTCAAGTGCAATTGACTTGCGAGGAGTTAAAATCTCTTCTTAGGGCGGCGGGGTAGTGCCGACGACGCTACACGAAAATCGACCCTCTGCGGGGATCGGCGTGGTCGAGGTGCAAAAACTCGAAGTTTTTTGCGATTTTGTTTGGGCTCGCGCGACCCGCTGCGGGGATCGGCGTGGTCGAGGTGCAAAAACTCGAGGTTTTTTGCGATTTCTAAAGTTCCCGCGCGACCCTCTGCGGGGATCGGCGTGGTCGAGGTGCAAAAACTCGAGGTTTTTTTGCGATTTCTGCGGTGCTCGCGCAACCCTCTGCGGGGATCGGCGTGGTCGAGGTGCAAAAACGCGAGGTGTTTTGCGATTTCTGCGGTGCTCGCGCAACCCTCTGCGGGGATCGGCGTGGTCGAGGTGCAAAAACTCGAGGTTTTTTGCGATTTCTGCGGTGCCCGCGCAACCTTCTGCGGGGATCGGCGTGGTCGAGGTGCAAAAACTCGAGGTGTTTTGCGATTTCTGCGGTGCCCGCGCGACCCTCTGCGGGGATCGGCGTGGTCGAGGTGCAA